AGTATATACACAGTATACCCATACAATGAAATTCACAGACACCCAGAGACCAGACACATGCACACACATAAAATTCCCCAAACACTCCCCACCCACTAAAAAATCCCCCAACACTCCCCACCCACTAAAAGTCCCCACTAAAAATAGAAACATCTACACCGCAGGTCAAGTAACACAGTCCAACTAACTATTCACTACTGGTGGTCTTTAAGCTCATTATTAAGTGCAATTATAGCTCTGGGATAAAAACTATTCAGAAAATGTGTGGTCCGAGTCTTAATTGTTCTATATCTTCTGCCAGACGGCAACAGTTCAAAAAAGTTATAAACAGGATGGGAAGAGTCTCTCAGGATGCTGTGTGACTTCCTCAGACAGCGGGATGTGAAAATATCATCTTTATGCACATCTTTATCAAATTTGGTGCATCCTGCTAGTTTGGTACACAGCCTGTGTAGATTCAATAATATTTTTAATTCAAATAATGTATGATTCCCTTCCTTTCGAATCAAGGGGGTCATGTCGGCATATATAAAGTTTTTGGGGGGTAAAAGGTAAAAAAGTTCCCTGACCCCTGGTCTAAACCAACTGCCAGCTCCCACACAGCCACCTATTTCCCCTCCCTTGGTCACTTCATATATTCTCTCTTACAGTTGTAACTCTGGTTAAACTGTAAAAAGATTTACCATTTTCTCATTGTGTGTTTATGTGTGTTTCTGAGAATTCTAAACAGCATTAGCTATTAACAAAATGGAATCGTGTGGAGGGTAATTATTTGAAACAAATATGAAGCTACAGTTTATCATTTTGTTTATATAACATGCAAAAGTAGGCTTTCCCATTCCTGTGGCCTTCCAAGTATTGGTGAACTCTTCCCATTGTCCCTTAACACTGGCCAACATGGCTAGAACTGATGGAATATAAAGGCCAACAACTGGAGACCACAAGCTGCCATCTTTCCTTTAACATGAGTTGCAGAGCTAGCACAGAAAACTGGTATCACGCTTTACATTATGAAGTCAGCGATGAGGTCACCGCCTTCTAAGGGAAAGGCAAAGCATCATGAAATACACTGCCTGCTTCATCACTGGTACAAAAGCTCACCTCCCATTAAAACAAGGGAGAAAGAGAACACAGAATATATTCCAGCTAACAGAAAAAGGGAATTTAAAGAAGTGACCAAAGAGGTAATTATGTAAGTTCTTACTAAACAGTGTGTCAATTGAAAAGCCTATGTGGGGCTACAACAAGGAGGGGGAAGGACTCCAATATAGCCCAAATCTCACATTCATAGAGGACCTTAAGTTTAAAATGTGCCACAATTTTTGTAATTCTGTTGTAACATTTCTCTATCTTTTTTAATATACTGTACCAAGAGCCTCAAAAAAGGCACTCTCAGCCTCTGAAAAGCTATGCTGTATCTATACTTGTTCAGACGTAAGGTCCTTAAGGAGGATAAAGAAAATCTTAAGGTAGGGCTAAGGAACCTGTGGCTCTCCTAGAATTGATGAACTAATATTTTCATCAGCCCCAACTACAGACCAAGCTAGTAGGAACCAGCAGAAATTGAAATACAGCCATATTTGGTAGGCCACAAGTTCCTCAGTCCTCCTGCCTTAGGACATTATCACATTGGTAGTCATTTTTCATGCTGCTAATTATGTATTTGATCTCTTACCTCCTAACTGCCATCGAGATATTCTTTTGTAGAACAATTTTCCTCTGGGCTATCTTACTTTTTTTAAAAAAAGGAACAATCAAGAAAAAGAAGTGAGGAACCCATGGTTATGAAAATGTGTTGTGTGCATTGAAGTCTTGCCTTTTCTCCCCCAAAGGAAAAAAACTGCACTCAGAGGTTGTGATGAAAACTGCAGGTGATAAATAACTTACTAGTATCTTTCATCTGAGGTTCAACCCACCTCAGAAGAAAACCAGCCAACCCAACAGAAATCAACAATTTAGGTAAGAGCTAGTGCACAGTTTCATTCAGTATCTTCTGAAGGATGGAAGTATTTCTACTTTATTTGAACTCATGCAGTTAACACCACAGAAGTATGTTTACCTTTCCACTTCTTTTTGACAATTACCAATTCATTATTTTTCTATATAGTGGTCCAAATCTTGTTGTGTTTTTTCACTGGTGTAAAGCACTCAGCATAAAACTCAGTGATTAGTTGCTCCAAATTAAGCAGCCAGCAAAGCCATCTAAACAAGATTTTGGGCATTCTCTAATGATAGTAACGGTGTGCTGTCAAATTCCAGTTTCTGATGACACTCCTTGGTTTTCAAAGCATAAAGTACACAAAGGTGGTTTACCACTGCCTCCTTCTTGGTAGCACTGTGGGGCCATACAATTTGCCCAAGGTCACATAAGTGGCCAAACACTTAACCCCAACAGCCACTCATACTCCCAGTGAAATTGGCTGGTCCCTTCTCTGTGAGGCACAGTGAGGATTAGAACTCCTGGCCCCCAGAGGCACACAAATCCACTAAGTTGTACCAGTTCCTATAATTATGTTCAGTCAGGTTGGTTCTAGTTCATGGCAACCATTCCAGAGTTTTCTCTAGTTACAAAAAAATTCTTAGTAACAGTGATTTACAGTATTTAAAGCAAATAGTGTGCTGTTTATATACCACCCCTACTGCTGTTTAACCACTGCATCAAGAGGGTTCTTATTTAAGTTCTGATGATCTCACGAACATCGTTCTTGTTGCTTCACAAACCCTCACATTCACTAGAGAGCATGGAGAAATATTTACACCGACCAAAAACTGTGTGTAAATAATATTGAAATTATTCATAGCAACTTTTCCCAAATAAAGTGCTTCTCGAAGATACAAAATAGTGGTATGAAATTGTTGTTTAACACATTGATGCATACACAACATAACAGACTTATCTATAACACATAAATGCACATAAATGCACTTGTAAATAACAGTCCATATTTTATGACGACTTGTCTCCTTTCAGCCTCAATAAACACCAACAGTCTGTTGTTTCATACAATACAGTGTCAAAAAGGTGCATCAGCAGCACAGGGAGGTGGAGAAGACATCCAACCAGGCCTCTTCTGTGACTGGCATGGTGCAAAGCATGATGGCCATCTCAAACACAATGCAAGCGGTAAGTGGACACCTGGTTTGAAGGGGGGGGATTACCAACAGGACTGGCCACCTGTGGTGTTGAACCTCGTATTCATCTCACCCAGGAGACAAATATAAAGCTCCCATCTCTACTATCAGGTGTTCAGAAACAGTCAGCTATCATACAATTCTAAATATCTATTGTCTGGGCAAAATTGGTAAACTCAGACAACGGTTCAAAACGCATCCCCTTAATGCTAACCTCTTTTGTCATAGCTATATCTTAACAAAAGGTATTATTTTACAGCCCCTGTGAACAAACCTTAGTGTTTCCCATACCTGTCATGGATTTCATCAGTGTGTGAATGCATGTAGTTTTGCCTGCCCCACTGGGCCCCAGGGCCATCATGCCATGGCGCACTCTTTGTGTTTCAAACAGCTGGATGACTTTCAGTCTCCATGGGGGATGATTAATTAAGCCAGCCTCTGCAACCTGTCAGGATCACCAAGAATCATGTTATTGATCATTTCATCTACCCAGAAGCCCTACAGATAGTTATCAATGCACATAAATGCTGTGACCCTCGACTCACCATCAACACACCTCTTCTTGTCAGTTCAGCCCCAATGATCCCTTGTTGATTAGGAAAGTCTGAAGGGGGCTTGACTATGAATAAAATCATGCAGCGGCTTCTGTTAATACTGAAGCCAAACTATCCCCTAAATATGGGAAGTATTATTCTGTGCATGGCCGTGATTTGGAGGAAAATATGACAGATTACAAATGTGCTCCTGCTCTACACTGTCCTCTCTAGTCCATCATTCAGCCATACTCAAGTAGCTCCATGGGCTTAGCTTCAGTGGCAAATTTTTGATATTATCTTTCTTTTTTTCTTTTGTTTCTTTCTTTCTTTCTTTTTTCTTTTTTTTTCTTTTTTCTTTTTTTGACAAAGCACCCTACTATTCTTATTTTTACACTGGGAATTTGCATGGACCTTTTCAAGGAACTATTAATTAGGGCTCAAACTAGATAGTAGAGATAGCACATTTTTGGAAAACATATTCCTTCAGTTAATAACAGACATCTGCTTATCATAGCACACAGATTCCTCTATGGATCTTGCATTTGGCCTCCTTCCTTTTGTGACTAATCATTAAACGATACACACAGGCAATTGACAGCTTTGATAGCTGAAGCATATATTTTTTGGGAAATACCATTGTGGAAGAAGAAAAGATTGTTGGCAAGAGTACACCTCTTTTGCGTCTTTCCCCATTCAGGTTAACCCCAAAGACCCATCTTTAGTAATAAGATGGGTCTTTGAGGTTAACCTGAATGGGGAAAAACACAAAAGAGGTGTTTTCATTTTTATAGTATTTTGTGAATTTCCAACATAAAACCTCTGAAAACTGATATATTCAGAATTCTAAAGCAGGGTATTGGAAATACCTTATTTCTATTGGATTATATATACAGTAGTACCCTGGTTTGCAAACGCCTCAGTTTACATAATTTTCAGTTTATGAACCAAAATCCATAAGAAATAAAGCCCTGGTTTACATTGTTTTCTTTTTTTCACACCACAAAATGGTTTCCCCAAGATGCATTACACTTATGGTGCAGCCCCTTTTGTAGCACAATTGTTGTTTCAGTTTGTGAAATGTCCATACTACACAACGTCGCGTAGAATGGATCCAGTTCACAAACTGAGGTACTACTGTATTTGATATGTGTATGTAAAAACACCTCATTGATATTCCAACGAATAGCTCTGTGAGTCTCAGAATGGGGGCTGTCACCTCCTAATTCAGATTCACAGAACACCTTGAAACGGTTGGGGGAGGAGAGTTTAATCCTTTAAAGGGGCATGGAAAACAGAGGTGCCTGCTCTTTGCTGCTGGTTCCTAGCAGGACTTTGCCCTACAAGCTCCTTGGCTTGTCTTCCATTTTGAATTGGGATGGATCCTCATCACATTGCTCTCTCTGTTTCATTTTGCATTAATGGGTTTGTTTTTTTTTATTATTCTTCCTACATTTGGAATTGGATTAGATTGTTGTTACATTTTGCACTGCTTTGGGCATGACCAGATGGGGGAAGTTGGAGCAATCCAGTTCATGATTAAAAGATCATTATCTTTTGTGAGATCTGTTTTATCTTGCACTCGAACAATCCTTCCATTCACATGGGAGACATTTCTCTTCCTATGAGGAGGATTGTAAAGCTCTTCAGATCACTCCAATTCATCCCACTCTCAATTACTGACACCCCTGTCTCTAGCCCCTCTCCTGCCTTTTTGTGCATCCATCATTCCACAAGCTGCAGAGACTCCTCCCTTTTTTGTTAAAGTAACATAGTGCTATGGTAGTACACCAACCTAGGACAGTACACACATTATTCATATTGTATCAAAAGAATTTCCAACATACAGTATTAGAATTGTGCTGCATCAGTTAGGAATTTTTTTAAAAGACAATGAAGATAAAGGAGGGGGTTTCTCCATTCTCCCTTTTAATGTCATAACCCCATGAATACATAACACAATTTTCAGCTCAGATAACACTGCCTGAAGCTCTGTTTGGGTATGAATTCAACAACTGTACAGGCTACAGAACAGGATAATCAAGAACATTCCCAATTGCACCAACTAAACTGCAGCCTCAGTGCTCTGCCAGAAAGGAGTAGACAACTCCTAAAAAGAATGGGATGGATCGTTATTTTTGGTGACATACAGTCATCAAAAACAGAGCAAACCAAACTTCACCAAATAGGGAGCTATATGTCCATCTGATCATCCTCTTATCTACTTATGAATTAAAAGGGAAAGGGAAACGTTCCTGTTGACAATTGTCTTCCCCCCCCCCCAATTCCTTGGTCCATTTTATTGATTTTTTTGTGTATGGAGGAATTTCTCCCTTTCTCTCTTTATTCTTGCGGTAGACTGCTGGCCTACCTGCCTGCCCTGCAAATCATGTTGCTAGACTAAGACATCAAAGTGGTAGAGGAAGTAATCCCCAATCTCATATTTTAGAAGTTAGGGGTTGGGGGTGGTTTAACTGTTTTTATTTATTTTCTGTCCTTATCATTCTTGATTTTTAATTTCTGGTGTGGAGAGAGGGCTCGTGTGTGTACAGTATGCATTTTTTCCTGTGTGTCAGAGAGAGGAGGCGGCACTGCTTTTGCTTTTCTTTGTGCTGTATAAAATGACATAGAATATTATATTTATTCTGCTTAGAGACATATGCATATATTTTTTGTTTATTTTTGTATGTTTTCATTTTCTGTTCCATAATGTGAGGTCCTATTTGTGTACTAAATTGTTGTTAAGTGTCTGGTGTCTGATGATGTCTGATCTTGGTTTCTCGTGCACTATTGTTATTGCCTGCTTTTGGAATAGATGATTATCTGCTTCCTTCTCCATGTTTGTTTGTTCGTTTGTTTAGAAGTGGTTATGTGGGTGTTGTAGAGCTTCACTTGGTCTACCACGAAAAACCCAAATGAGAAAAAAGCCACCTACATAAAAAATAAAAGATCCAGTCCTCTTTCTGATTACCAGAAGGGCCTTATTCTTATCACATATAGCAACAGACAAATGGACTCCTACAGCACCTAACAGACTACTTCTGACTTTCACTACTTTCAGACTAGTTGTAACAGAATAACTGTTGCTTCTTTTTTTAATCTATCTGGCAGCTAACTAAAGATCCATTCCTCTTTCTGATTACCAGAGGGGCCTGCACTGAAATGATCCAAAAACTAATGAGGCATGCAAATATCAAAGGAAGGCAAAACAAACGCAACCCCAAAGTTTTCCCTGTGTACTTTTAAATGTGCTGAGAGTTTGTACATGGCAGTTCAAGCATTATAGATAGACAGACAGACAGACAGATAACAAAAAACAGGCAGAGTATGAATGGTATTTTCCCTTGTGTGCCTGCACTGAAATGATCCAAAAACTAATGAGGCATGCAAATATCAAAGGAAGGCAAAACAAACGCAACCCCAAAGTTTTCCCTGTGTACTTTTAAATGTGCTGAGAGTTTGTACATGGCAGTTCAAGCATTATAGATAGACAGACAGACAGACAGATAACAAAAAACAGGCAGAGTATGAATGGTATTTTCCCTTGTGTGTTGTGTGTAACAGACTACTTCTGACTTTCACTACTTTCAGACTAGTTGTAACAGAATAACTGTTGCTTCTTTTTTTAATCTATCTGGCAGCTAACTCACTGAACACCTATTGGCTAAGACCAGACATAATCTGATCAGTTGCATAAATTCCAGTACATAAATTACTCAACTGTCAGTGATTAAAAACAATTTTCACATAATCTTGATAAAACTTTTACTGTATATTTTATATATGTAGAATAAACCAGAATTGCTTAAAGACATTTGTCCTTGACATAGATGTGTGTTTGACAGATCTATAAGTGTTTTGTAACATATTCTTATCACATATAGCAACAGACAAATGGACTCCTACAGCACCTATCAGACTACTACTGACTTTCACTACTTTCAGACTAGTTCTAACAGAATAACTGTTGCTTCTTTTTTAATCTATCTGGCAGTTAACCCACTGAACACCTACTGGCTAAGACCAGACATAATCTGATCAGTTGCATAAATTCCAGTACATAAATTACTCAACTCTAACATTCTTGTATACACATAGATACATGCTGGGTTGCATTTATATATTCCAATGTTTTGTTTCATCCTTCACAAGCAACTCAGTTTGTCAAGCTTCGGAGACAGTACAAAAATATTCCTTAGCATTACCTGTTTACTGATGGCAGCTTCTAGTTCTGGATAGCCTGCCTTGTCAAGCTGAATACTTGGGAAAAGATCTTCAATCAGACTCAGAAATAATGGTTCATCTTCATCAATCTGTCAATGCAAAAATAAACAAACAAAAGTAATGTAACAGGCACAGTTTTCTTTCATAGTATGCATTTTAAAATTAATATACCTAACAACAAAGTGCTGCTGAAGAACCCTGACTCACCAATATACATACATTTCTACTGGACAGATGGCAACGATCATGCAGACTTTCCATTCTAAGCAGCCTGAAGCAGGAAGAGGGAGCATTGAAAGGCAAAAGAAAAGACAGCACAAATAAAACTAGAATATAGCCAAAGCAAGAATAGTAAAGAAAAAACAGATCACTTCAAAAGGATAGAATTCAGAAACCCTGGGAAACCTCTGGCACAGAAATCATACTTTATCTGCAATGTTTGAGGAATGCTCTGGGATACAGAGGAAAGTTCACAGCAAAAGACAATCAGTCTTGAACTACCAACTTTCACAGATTTCACTGGTAGAGGGCAGATCCTTCCAAAGATATTATGCTGTCTAAGGCACAGGGCAAGATCATGCCCCTCCCCTTCCACTACAATGAAGCTAGTTGAAATAGCCACTGATATTTATAATGGAAAGATGAGACTGTGTCCTCTACCACTCTTAAAGCAACAGGCTATGTATGAGAGAGGGGTGCAGTTGTGTAGTAGATATAGCTTTGTCCTCCAATAGAGGGGATAAGGTTCAAGAGAGAGAACTGATGGGTTGCCACAGGTGCCCCTTAACATTTGCCATTGGAGGGTATTGCCTCATTCTGCCTAATGGTAGAACCAGCCCTGTCATGGAATATACTGTGAGTGAAGAACTAAATTTCTGGAACTATTTGCATAACAGTGCCAAGGAGGAAGGCAAAGTGGGACAGACCAGATAGTTTTCATGTTGGCAAAAGGGGTTGTGTGCAAAGTATTGTGTGCAAAATATATATATACAGACTCACACACACATATACATATCTGGTATGTGCGCATAGATATGTTTCCCGTAGTGGTTAGAATCATGACCAGATATCTCCACTGTGGGGATATGTATAAACACAGAAAATATATTATTTGTACTCCTTGTATCTGAAGAAGTAGATTTTGATCCACAAAAGCTCAAAATGAAATAAATCTGCTAGTATTTAAAGTGCCACAATATATTCTCATTTTCACGCCAATATGGTGAGACAGACTAATGCTGCTACTTCTTTGAAGGTGGGTTGTAGAGAATCAAGATAATTAATAATGCCAAAAGCAGGAATTCTAAAGAAATCATGAAAAGAGAAAGATTAATTTGCCAAAAAATGGGAGTCTGACATACACAGCTGTTTCCTTCATCCTTTCTCCTATTCAATGTTTTTTATTATTTACTATTTATCTCTTTCTCCCTCCCCCATTAACTCTCCTTCTAATTGTTATTCTGGCTCTCATTCTCCTTATTAGTCATAGGTCTTGGGGGGGGTTTCTTCCTTCTTTCACTTTCTTCTCCCTTTTCTTTACTTCACTTCTAGCCGAAAGTAAAATGTATGTGTTTTTTCTGATTGTCCATGTTTCCCTCACCTCCCCATGCTACTCCAGTGGTCCCATCCAACTTCCTAGTCAGTTTATTAATGCCTGGCAGTCAACTTTGATATAATGTGCTGCCCAGGGTGGTTCAAATGGAAGGTAGGACACTGAAATGCCCAACCTCCAATCATCACCCACCTCTCCTTTGAGGGTAGGGGCATTGCAAAAAGAGCCTGCAGAGGTGGTCTCATTGTGCACATATGTTAATTTCATTCTTACCAGCTTAGAAAGATTCATGTCTCTCAGGACACGCATTACAATAGTAGATTCGGTGTCGTCAGGGTTTGATCTTTTAGCCGCTCCAAGAGTTCGCAATACTGACAATATATTCCTTAGCCCAAAGTCATAATGTACCTACCGAAAAGGTTAAAAGGATTTATACCGGTTAAAATAATGTTCATATTATGTATTGATCTAACACCCCTTCTTTCTCCTGATACAGGGCAAAAATTATTTTAAAACCAAGCACATTTTTTTTAAAAAAAACTGACAAGTGGTAGTATAAAAAGTTAATTAAACATGCTGTCAATCATATTAAAGCAACTACAGTGGTGCTTTGCTTAACGAGCGCACCGTTTAATGACGAATCCGCATAACGGCGCGTTTTTTGCAATCGCTAATGCGATCGCATTGCGATGTTTTAATACGCAAAACATCGCATCGCGATGATCGGTAAGCGTTTCGCTTACCGATCTTCACACTGCGATGTTTTGGGAACAGCTGATCGGCGGTTCCAAAATGGCCACCGGGTCAACAAAATGGCCACCTGCAGCGTTTTCACGCCCTGCCCTCGATTACCGGGCGGCGAAAATGGCGGCTGGATGAAGGATTCCCCGCATAGCAGTGAGTTTTTCTCCAATAGGAATGCATTAAACGGAGTTTAATGCGTTTCTATGGGGTCCCCCCGCATAGCGATGAATCCGGATAGCGATGTTAATCCTGGAACGGATTAACGTCGCTATGTGGGGCACCACTGTACTGGCTTACAGCAATGGTTTCAAAAAGTGAAAAGGACAAGGTTCTATAGCAAAAACCTGCCTGAAAGGAGGCAGGCTTCTGTTATGGAAAGCAGAAGGACAACAGGGAGGGGGCCAAACTAGCCAAGTCAGAAATGTGGAAGCAGCCACCAAGAACATCCTCTCCCTTGTCCTCCCCAAAGGGTAAATGGAATAAGGGAAGGACACCCTCCCCAAAGGCCTTAAAACGTGGAAAGATCAGCAAAAGTGGCCTTCAGATAACCTGGACACAAGCTGTGTAAGCCAAGAAAAATTGGACCCATAAAGGAATACGCTTCTTAGAATGGAACTAAACCAGGCAATGGGGCTTCTACTAAACATAGCAAATCCTCTGTGAGGAACAGTTTAACTGAACAACTTTTTAAAGGAATGCTGGCCAAAAACATTGTAACACATCGTTAACCAGTCAGATAAGAGGTTGAGATTTAGAATGCTAGCATTTTAATGGCCAAATGAGGTTTGCATATGTAAGCTAGCAGATAAAGCTGATAATAAGCAAGTGGGGTTTTGTTGTTGTTTTGTTTTGCTTTTAGTTTCCTCACATTTAGGACAAGGTGCTAGACAGAGGCTAGAGATAGGAAAGGGGACCTATGTGTATCCTTAGTGTTTCAGTACTCATTTAACATCAGGATGACCCAAGAGAATTACTGAAATCCTTACATGATTTATGGCACTACAAACATCAAATTATATCACCTACATTATTGACAAAAGCATTTAGGAAGACTAGTGTTTCCTGCATTTATTAAAAGAACAAAGGTTAGCCATGGCTCTGTCCAAACTCTAGTAAGGAAGGGGGGGGAAAGAGTAACAGTGTTCATAAAACATAATCACTCCTACCTGCTTAGATAGCTGTTCTTCACAAAGTTTGTACAAGGTGAAAAACTTTCTTGCAAGCACAATGTTATCAATAAAACCACAGCTTGCCAGTTTGACACGGATAATGATCTGTCGATCAGGAACCATCATTGCCACCGAGCGGAAGTTAATCTTCAGGTTTTCAGGCAGCTCTTGACGGCCAGCATATCCAGGGTTCTGATTTAACAGAGAGTTAAATTTTGATTTAACAGTTTGGCTATCATTCACATCAGCCTCAATATTTACTTAAATGGCAGATTTATTAGAATTTCCTTCACAAGTTCTACTCTACATACAGAACTAGGACACTTAGCTTAAAATGGAACAGCTTTCAGGATAGATCTGGCTTGCACAGACTGTCATGAAGACCTCATCCATCTAATCTGTGGTTACCCAATATAGACAAACTTAGGTAAGGTCAAGCATTGTCCTGATATGGTCTTCCCTCTAAGTCTTGGCAGATTCCCTACTGTATTCGTTCTCCACCTTAAATTTATTAACATTTGTTGATCACTGACTGGAAGGACTGGGAATGAACTTCATGAGGCTCCATTTGGCACCATAAATAGCAATATAATCATCTGAGTTGCCATTTTCCCTTAAAACCATATTTGTTGAAACCTAGCTGAATGCATTCAAAGAAAAGTCATATCGAAGATGTATGTGAGGACAGTCATCCTCAAGGGCATAGATTGAAATAACTAGTGACAAGTAGTGTAGTTGTAACAAGCTACTTTTGGGATAACCAGCAAAACAACTGGGCTGTATTTATTGTTTATTATTTATTTAATCGTCCTATATTTTTTACTTTATTTAAATTTTTTTACCCCGCTTCTCTCCTTAAAAAGAACTCAAGATGGCTTACATCATTAAAAGACAATGTTTAATGCTAAAAACATTAAGGATGCAAATACTAAAAAAATCAAATGCCACCCCCCAAAAAATTGTAACAAAAGCAACACCAAAAACACAGACAAAGCAAGAAGGCACAATGGTGCATTTAAAAACCTCACTCAGGCAGCCAGTCACTAAGGGAAAGCTTGCCTCAAAAGAAAGGTCTTCATCTGCTTGCAGGCAGATAGCAAAGATGGGGCCAGTCTGGCCTCATGTGGGAAGGAGTTCCAAAGTCTGGAAGCAGTGACAGAGAAGGCCCTCTCCTGCATCCACAGCAAATGCACCTGTGAAGATTGCAAGAAAGGCCTCTCCTGATGATCTTAAGACCTTGGCAGCCTCATAAAAGGGGATATGGTCTCTTAGACACCTTGAACCCAAGTTGTTTAGGGCTTTATAGGTTAGAACCAGCACTTTGAATTCTGCCCCGAAATGGATCAGCAGTCAGTGCAGCTGTTGTAACTGGCCTATGCAATCAAGACAGTACAAAATTGTTTTTTCCCCACATGTGCTCCTGTAGAGGGGGACTTTTTGGTCATAGCTGAAATTTCCAGTAAAGCCTTATACATACCTCATAAGTTACACTAAAGGGACTTCAGCAGTGCCATTTCACTGAATTGAGAAATAGAACTATCCTATAGTCTCAGAGCCCTTACCATTGTCAAAAAAAGTCCAAATTCAGGATTCATTTCCACATTATCACCATCCGTAAAAATGAAGTTCTTCTTCCGCTCCTTCTTACATGTTAGAACAATGGCAATTTGCTGTGCAGCCACAGATAACACTGGTAAATCAATGCGGTTAAACTCATCAAAGCAGCCCCAGGATCCAGACTGAGCAAGACCTTCAATCAGAGAAAAGGCTTAGGTTAAAAGGAGCTAAATCTGTGCCCCCGTTACATGATGAGACATCAGGGGCATCCCCAACTGCTTCAAAGCATCATGCTTAAAAGAATTTAAGAAGCTAACTAGAAGCAGGTCTAATGAAAGGCAATCTGAACTCTGGAACTCAACTCAGGGACTGGATATATTTTACTTTGATCACATAAAAGGAACTTTTCAAGTCTAGGATGGTTGTGCCAGTTGGCTGTAGGGAGCAGAAAGGTTTTTGCAAATCTTGAAAAAATACTTTTAAAGTAATTAGCTATAGATATTGTGAAGAGACTGAAAAATTAGGGGAATATGGAATCCATTTGGAAAATTCAGGCTCTCTGTCAATGCCTGGGAATGGCTGAAAGAGATGGAAGTAACACCTGCAGTTTATCATTGTAATGAGGTCTTCAAGGCCAACTCAGTTTGTTCCTTGGCTCTGTGCTAATTGGAAAATGACTTCAGCTGTGTGAAGGGAGGAGGCTGAATATGCTTTTGTCTTCATGAACATTTGAGGGAACTTGAAGCCTGATCATCAGACCATCTGAAACGGTCCAGAATGTGCTTCCTGCGAGATCACATTCTGGACCATTTCAGATGGTCTGCCAATCACAAGGAGTTGAAAAGTTACTTCATTTGGCTTAGTTTACTTCTCAGGAGGTGCTATACTCAGTTGCTGTCCTGTTATGCTGTACCTGGAAGGATGTACACTTTAGAACTCAGCTGACTCTATGCTGATGTGTGAGTATTAGGTAGGTTAGATTAATTTTATTAATTTCTAGGGTTCTCTTAATCACCTCATCTTTTGTCTCAAATTCTCTTCCCCCCCTCTCTCTCTTTTTTCCTTCAAGTGCTTTTTGAAACCTTTTCAAAACTGTTTGGAACTGTCTTTAACAAACTATACACATTCTTCAACCATCTGGGGTTTTGGCTCAGAGGGTTTGTGGTAGTAAAACAAGGTCTGTCCTTGACCAGCTACCAGGAACCTTCATTTTTTATGTGTGTGGTGGCAGCTCTACCTTGTCAGTTGGGCGTAGAGGTTCAGAGTGCCTAGCCTTATGGATTCTTGGACTCCCTGGAAGCATTGCCCAGTTGGGAAAGGCTGAAGTATTGCGAGGCACTGGAGCCAAGCAGGTTCCCTAGTCATCACCACGTTTGAGTGGTTCTCCCACTCTAGGATAAACAGGGTGGTTTTCTGCGACTGGAATCAAATGGGTTGCAACACTAACTGCAAGTGTACAGCACCAATATAGCACTGCACAGCCATTCACCAGTACAACTTAGAGGGTATGGTGATATTTCTCTTCCATCTTTTAATACAGCCAAACTTCATAGCTACAAAAGTAACTGAAAAGTAAGAGTTTATTTTATTTATTTATTTATTTTATTTCTATCCCGCCTATCTGGTCTTATTAGACCACTCTAGGCGGCTTACAATCACACAACAATACAGTTTTAAAAACATTACAACTAAACAAAAACGAATCAAGAAAGAAGTTAAAAAAAAAAAGTCATCAGGGGTTGTCTGTTGGGAAGGCCTGCCTGAACATCAATGTTTTTAGTTGTTTCTTAAAAGTAC